AATGCGCATTGAACCTCGCATTGGTCGTTGTCGGTCTTCGTCGTTCAAACGTTGAGTACACTTTGGTTTCCCCCCTCGGTCGTAATCTAACCCTCGCTTCCAGGCCACCTTCGGTATCGTTTTTATGTAGAAAGCTCGCCGTTTAGTTACGTTGAACCCATGACCCCTCGTCCAGTTGTGCAATGCTGCAAATGCTTCCTCTTCGGATGCATACGATTTTTCAGGCGGAGGTGGGATTTCCACTAACCGCCGGGTTGAATTGATGCCCTCATTATTGACGACAGCGCTGTCAATCAAATCGCGCTGCGAGTCTTGAACACTTGGAAGCGGTAGACAATCATCTTGCATGCCCCCGGCACGGGTGACGTCTGCCTCAGAATTTTGCTGTCCAGGTGCAGCAGTAGATGGGTCGTCTAGCAAAGGCGGAAGGTCTTCAAGAGCTGTACTTATGGCTACCGCCGATAGTGTAGTGTAGTCACCAAGGGGAGGGAGTTATTTGGTTTCCTTCGTTTCGAGGATAAGCGTTGAGCAACAATGACAGATCCATAGTTTGTGTTGAAAGTATTGGGTTGAGCTGGAGAGGCTTCCAGCTGTCTTCCCCCGGTGGCGACTTGTAATAAATAAATGTTATGCAAAGGACAGACTGAAATCTTACGTCTTCTGTGTTCTTACCTGGTAAGATGCAATGGTAAATTGGTCATATTTTGCTGGAGTACGGTCTCTGCAAAGGACACGGCCCTATTTATCTTACGTTTTGTATCTATCTACTTGAAGTCGAACAATGCCTGAGTGTTGTTTTTCTCTCTGACAAGTCGCCCTTTTTGTCGAAATAGCTCTCCTTCCAAATGACCCTCCTTAGTGTTGCCCTAAAATGAGTGGCCGCCAGATGGCCAAACCCTAATTTCGGCCAGGCGTTGTGGCCATATGGCTATAGCCGTGGCCGAGCTGTGCCTTTGCGTTCGGCCAAATAAAAATAACTGCCAGCCATTGGCTGACATCATCTGGCTGCCGTTGGTATCCAACTTAGATCTCCGTTCTCTCCAAGACGGGGCGTGCCGGTGCGCACGTTAACGCACACTTTGCCCAGCTCAAGCATCTCGAATAGGCTCCGGGGAACTACTGGTACTGCGAGTGCCGATATTGTCAAGCGGCGTTCTTCAACTGCGAATCAGCGTCTCGCCCAGTCAGAATTATTGGCAGACCTCGCAATTTTAAAACCCACCTAGAGAAGTGCAAGCACTACAAAGCGTCTCTACTTCAACCAACGTCTCCGTTATCGACAGTATCGACTCCTCCTCCTTTTACAACGGCAACGGCGATGGATCCCCATGCAATAAGTTCGGGGACTCGGTCTCAAGGTGCGATACGAGAAGCGGGAGGAAGAAATAGTGAAGTTTCTCTTCACCCTCAACCAAGGCGTTGTCTCGTCATCGGTAAACACCGCGCGCCGCTGGAGGAACATGATGTCCCACCTAAGAAACGACACTTTTTGCGTTCTAAAGTTTACGAGCTGGAGCGGTCACTTGTAGAAATGTACGCTTCAAACCATCTTTCGGACCGATTTATAAAGGACGAGACAGTGCTTCGTGTGTTCGAGTTAATCTGCTCT